CCAGCCAGCAAGGGCTGGCTGGGGAATTCTGGGAGTTGAAGTCCACCCGTCTTAAAGCACCCAAGGTTGAGAAACACTGCTTTAGAGTAGGGTTGCTTAAACTGCATCCCCCTCCCCAAGTGCTTATTTCCCCCAGCCCCCTGCTTAATGGGTCATACTTCCAAACTTAATTAAATCCAGTAGGATAAATCCTACTTCCCCTTTTTTAGTCATGCTTTTAACTGACATTTTATGTATTGATATATATTTATGTTTTTAATGTTGGTTGTGAGTCGCCCAGAGTTCCTCCATGGAGATGGGGGGGTGAGAAATTTAAATAATAAATAAATAAATACAGAAGAATAGAAGAGGCGGCGTGGAAGAGATTCCTGGAACTGTCTGCCACTAGATCTGCAGACAGTGACCATCTGAGATGGGATTTACTGTATTTTGTTACTTCCTTCTGTTTATTTCTTTTGTTTCCGTGCACTGACGGGACTTCAGGACCCACCAGAAAACCCGAGGATGGCCGGGCTGGAAGCCTACCTCGAACAGCCGTTTCAGAGGCAGAACGGTGGCTTCCTGCTTTCTTCAAGGGTCCTGCCTGCCTACCTACCTGGGGTATTGCTAGGATGAAGCTGAGGGCCCACGCCACGCCCAACATCGCCTTGCTTTTCCGCTTGGCTCTGCTGACCCTCAGCGGGTGCAGAACGGCAGCCCAGCGGTCCAGGCTGATCACCACCGTCACGAAGGAGCAGGCGTACATGGCCACCAGCTTGAGGAACATAAGCAGCCGGCACGCCAGGTCCCCGGCGTACCACTGAACCGTGACGTTCCACACGGCGTCCAGCGGCATTACCACAAAGGTGACCAGCAGGTCGGCCGCCGCCAGGTTCACGAGAAGGATGCGGAGGTGAGGCTTGTGCTGAAACTTCTGGGTGACGCTCCGGAGCATGGCCACGTTGGTGCCGGTGGAGCAGAGGAAGAGGGCCACGGTGACGGCCACTCGGATTTTGGCTGCGGTGGAGAACGTGGGCAGCTGGAAACTGCCGTGGGGGACCTCACCTGGGCTGAAGATCTCCTCCGTGCTGTTGGACCTCCCTTGGCCCCAGAGTGTGGTGTCCATCGGCTCTACCAGCGTCAAGCCTTCCAAAGGGAGGAAGAGCGTTCTTCTCCAGAGAGGTCCATCTGCTGGACCTGGGGCTCCCACACGGGGTGGGCCCCCTCCGGTTCTCCGGGAAGTCCTTCTTTTCCAAGAGCTTGGTAGAACCGGCAACTGCAGGACATGGTTTCCTACTCAGACAGAGCTGTCGTCGATGTAAGGTTGGCTGACATTAGTCCTTCTTGAAGCAGGTCGTCATTGGGGGGGACAGATTGACTTTGGGGCTCCTACTGGAAAGACTTCACGCTTCATTTGGGGGTACAGGGTCTCCATGACAAAAGGCTGTGTCTTAGTCAACATCTGTGGCAGGGAATGGGAAGACAGTCACGTGTGTGCCACGATTTTGTCTTCCCTCTGTGGCTGTCATGTCCAGCCTCTGGCAAAGTCCAGGGGTCCTGACTACCTGCCAGGGGAAAAAGCCAGCTCTCTTTCACTTTACTCTGCCACCCTGCCCACCCCCATTTCCAGAAGTGCTGAAAGGAAAAGCTGTTTAATTCCCTGTCATTTTCATCGGGCTGCACATCCTTCACTTCTGGCCATTGTTGCCCAGAGGTGCAGAACCACGGGCATCAGTAAACCATGGTTAATCTCCTGCTTGGAAGAGGGGAGCTGAAGTCCACACATCTTAAAGTGGCAGAGGTTGAGAAACAGTGGTCTAGGTCTTTGCTATCCCACCCGGTTCTGCTCGATCTGCTCTGCAGCGTACCCATTCATGAACAGTTGAACCAAAAAGTGCCAGGGTGTTGGGGGGAGGCAGAGAAACAACGGAGAGATGGGGATGGACAGAGAAAGAGCCCCAGGAACTGGGGGATCCCAAAAACGGGCACGTCAGGGCCTCTATTTCTATCCTCTTGCCCAGGACTTCCGAAATTTTGGCAGCAGAATTGCTGTTCCTGGTCCAGTCCGTGAGCCCATCTGTAGGGCCGCCTGCAGCTGTCCCAGAGCTGACGCTGTCAAGATTGGTCGATCGATCAATCAGAGTTTATTGCCGTCTTGGACCAGTACAAGTCTGATGCTCTATAAAAGTACATATAGTCTATCTTAAAGTCATAGCCACCTAGGATAAAATAAAATTCAAAGTTAAAATAAAATTAACATACGTTTATAACTCAACTCTTTGGGTGCAATCGAAGGTGCAAAATATAGTCACTCAAGACTGGTCTGAGGTTTCGACAGGCCCAGCTTTCGAGCCCTGGCGGGATGGATCAGGAGCCCCACCCAAAAGAAGGCAGGTTTTCCCCAAATCTCCCAGCCAAATAAATATGTTTTCAATTCAAATGCAGCCCTCTCTCTTGGCTCTACACAGCAAGCCCTCTGTCCCTACCTGTGGTTTTTAGCTTGGCTATAATCTAGGTTTTGCCCTGCTGGGTTTAATCCAGGGCGGGCAAGCAGGGGTTGGCACAGTTTTTCCTGGTGGGTCGATAGCTAGGAAATTGACCGTCACTGGATTTGGGAATTTGGGGGGAATACTTTTGTATTACTGTAAGCCACGCAGAGCTTTTTTAAATGGCGTATCTTGAATAAATAAATCATCGCTACTTTATTTATATACCACTTTTCTTCTCGAAAGGACAGAGCTGAACACCTGTCATTGTGCATCGATTTTCCTAGGTGCAAATCAGAGGGAGCTTTCACAAAAACCTTTTGTATCAGGCCGAGGCATTTAGGGTCACCCGTTTGACCCATCCCTGACTGTCTGAACTTGGAATTAGGGATACTGGTTCATCGGATACCTGGGACAGCCCCCAGCTGGCTTTGCCAAAAGCTAATTGGAGGTTGGATGTAGTTCATCCTTGGATGGAAGACCATCAGGAAATCCTAGGCTGGACTGGGACATAAAAACGTTCCTGGAAAAGGAGAATGGCACAAATCTATTACTGTGGCCAAGAAATCTCCATCAGAGGGCTCAAGGCTTCATCCAAGAAAGGAGTGTTGGTTTTCAACATTCTGCTTTGGAAACAGTTGGCGCCCGTAACGCAGCAAAAAGGGAATCGTTTGAGCAAATGAGCCTGCATTCTGCATTTTGAGCGAATGATTACTGTGTTCTGGGTAAAATGCAGCAGGTGTCAAGCACTAGAACAGCATTTCTCAACCTTGGGAACTTTAAGAGGGGTGGACTTCAACTCCCAGAATTCCCCAGCCAGCCCCCACCGGCGCGGGGGGTCTGCGGCGGTGGGAAGCACCCCCTTCCCCCTTCCCCCTCCGGTGGAGTAGGATCTTCTATCTGTGCC